ATGGTACATAAGTATTTTGGTATTCAAGACATTATTTTGTCAACAGAAACCAAATTGTTTGTTTTCTGGGGAAGGGCGGGGGATGTCCATTACCTGCACAGACAGAGGAATACTTCAGGATGTTGCCTTTAATTTAAACAGCACCAGTAACATCATGCTAAGGATCCTCCATGATGTTATCATAGAGCATTCCCAACAAATCAAACCTGAACCCAATACCACAACTCAGTCCCCTCAACACTTAACTGTCCCTTAAAAAACAGAACAGAGACAGTACCCATAGCATCTCCTATTGCTGTGGCCAACAGTAATCAAACAGAATCACGTTCTGAAGCTGCTCCTTCTAGATGAGGTAACAAAATAGCTGTGCATTAACTGAAGCCTGTGCCCTGCAAACTGCACCAGAAACTCACCAGTACCACCATAAAAGCACTCACTAGACCAGCAGGTTAAGGCAGAGCTACGCTAACTGAACCAGCTCTGAAATGACTGGAAGTGCAGGCAAAGGAGCTCGGAGAGCAGGGCTGTGCTGAGCGCTGCTCAGAGCCCCAGGGAATGACAACTTGTATCACTTCTGCCCACTCTCAAGCTCCAGCACACTCAGGGACCTCTTCCCAAGGAGCGGGGAATCGCAGGAGAGCCGGCAGCTTCACATCCAGTCAGATCTAGCAAGCAGGTTCCATGCTACCTTTTATAAAAATAATTCTTCAGTTTTGCTTCAACTTGAGAACACAAAGCAATGCCTACGACCAGGGAGAACACACCTCATTAGAAGCACCAAAATCTCTGGTAACTGCAAGAAAAAAAAATAATGTATTTAATACAGAGTCTGGGTTCTAAATTGTGGTTGTTTTATTTCATTTTTTTTTTTTTTTTAAATAAGTCCAGCATCATTTAAAGAGGAAGATGAAAAATAAAGAACCTAACTACCTCAATTACAGGCATCCGAGTGATGAACAGAAGAAACACCACTCGTAGCTCACAAGTACATCATTTCTTCTGCCTTCATTCAGCATTTACTTCTGCTCTAATTCAACATTTTACCCAGCATTCTTTCAGGGGAAACATGCAAGGTTTGCCACACCAGCTCAACCTGTACATGAGAAAAATGTGAATCAACAGCACTCCCCACATCCTACCACAAGACCTGGCTTTACCACCACAGCTTCCTATTGAGGCATTTACTTGTGGCACTGCTGCTGGTCTAGGTGCAAGTTGCACAGACAAACAGTGTATTTTGTTTCATGTGCATTGACACCAGTAAGAATTCATGACTGATTTCCATTTCCTCTGCTTGCACACATCCTGCTGTCACAAGCTGTGGAACAATACGAATATTTTCAGGAGGCTTCAAACTACACCATGAGGCACACAGACATCAAACTTCTGCAGAAAGATGGAACATAAATAAAACCCTGCATTGAAGAAACCAAATCACTGGGTTTTAAAGAAATACTGAGGTGTGAAATGAGCCCCAGCTGGTGAACTGCCACCCTGAGCAGATAGCAGGGCAAGGGCCTGCAGGACAGACATGCTTATAGGAGCATCACAGGCTGACTCTCACACCACCTTTGCCTGACAATAGCAAACGTACCAAAGAGAAAACAGGAAGATTCTGTCATTCTGCAGAGAAAGGGTTTGCCACTGCAGTGCTCTTTCCTCAGAGCTTATCCAATGTGAAAAAGATAAGTCCCAGAGCTTTAAGGATCTCAGCTGGACTGAATGATTTTTTTTTTTTTAATCCCAAACAAACCAGAACTCTGTGATTCTCCACCAGTGAAACTCACCCTACAGGCAGGAAGTCCCTGAAGATGTGTTTTAAGTCTGCAACACGAACTCATCCCATGCAGAGTAATGCACACAGAAAAAAAAACCAACTCTAATTATACACACACAGCAGTGGGATTTAGTTTAGTTAAAAATCATCTCTGGCTTAGCATGAGCCAACACCTTCAGAGCAGCATCCGGTGCACTGGAGCAGTCCAAAAACCAAGGAGAACATTTTAAGAGCCAGAAGTACTGATCAGAAATTACAAAAAAAAATCTTATGTGATTCTTGATGTAATGTAACAGCAAACACAGCAATGGCAAATAGAAAGTGGATCAAGATAACAGAAATGGAACAGCAGCCACTCATATCAAGGAACTCCAGTTTTCAAGTGAAAAGGAAAAATAATGCAATAGGACTGGTAAACATTTGTTACATCTCAGTGCACATGAAATAGAGAGCGTTCAATGAAATTACTGAGCAGTGGGCTTAAAAGCAGAAAAAACATTAAGCTCAGTGCCACTGGTACTGTAGAGATCCAAAGTGGAAACGGGTTCAAAGAGCAATTAGTCAAAATCAGAGTATAGCTTTTATGAACCCATTAAAGAACATCACGATCCTGATGCAATCACCTGCTCATTACTGGAAGATCTACAGAAGAAGCATTACTCCTGCCCACCTGCCAGGGACCAGACACTGTGCCAAATGGTCTCACAAAAGCACAGTTGCTGCTATGAAAAGTGACAGCAGGACGTTTTTAAAGACCATCCTCCCAAGCAGCATGCTTTAATGCATTGTCAAGTAGCACTGCCATTGTCTGTCTTTTCTCTAGCTTTGGTTTTGATGTTTTCTATCAATAATTTTTCAGTTAGGTTCTCAAAAATGCCATTATTCCATCCGTTTGCAGACCATTCTAGCAGAGCATTTATCTGTTGTTCCTCAAAGCTGACAATGCAGATAGCTCCAAAGATTATGCAGCCAGCTGAGCAACGCGAACGACTGTCTGAAGTATCTGTACTGACAAAGAAACATTAGAGAGAGGCAGGAAAGATGAGCACCCTTCTGGATGCACCTGTCCCTTTCACAGCCACTAGCAGAAGCCCAAGAACAGGCTTCCTCTGTCAGACAAACATCAGCAAAGACCAATTTTCAGCTGATCACAGTGGAAGGGCACTCACTCGCTGCAGACAAAAGCTGGGGCAACAGCAGCTCTGTGCTGAAAGTCTTTAAAGACGAGAGATTTGAAGTCAGTTGCCACCATGCTTCAGCTCACTGCATGCCAGGCCAGCAGCCCCAGGGATCAGCCAAGAGCAAGAGAGTTTGTCACACGACGGTACGTGATGTGCCAAGAGTTTAATAATTTATGTTGGTAAAAGCAGGATCCATTTCTCATTCCGACCCCTCTCTGTCAGCACAAGGTTACATCAATTCCACTGTAGAGAGCATACTGCTCATCATTATTTTATAAATATATTATCTAGCAGCTTTAATGGATCTGGACTTAAGCCCTACACAGACAGAGCATAACAGCTTTCTAAATAAAGTGAGAGCACTTGCCCTGAATCCAAGGCAGAACATCAGACTGACCATCTTATTGCAGTGCATTTTTCTAGATCAGTATGGATGAAAAAACTTCAGTACCTAGAGAAGTTTTAATCTTTCAGTCCTCTGTCTCTGTTTTTGGGCTTCCAGAATCACTCATTTGACCCAAGCCTACCACAGCGCTCTTCCCTGTAACTCAGCCCCAAGCTGGCTATATGATTTATCTGCCCCACACAATCACCTTCTGCACTGGACTGTAAAAAAAGCAGTCAGTGATGAGAGAGAATAATCACATTGTCACATTCCTCAAGGGTCCCTTTCCCATTCAGGGTCCCTTCCAACTCAAACGAGTCTATGATTACGATTTCTTAAGATCTGTCGGGTGACCCTTGCACAGCCAAACCTGCAGATTTCAAACACCCTCATTTTCCACCACAGCCCAAGGAGGAGCACACAGCACACTGCGCACTGCCAGGTTCAGGTAAAGAAAGAAGATAGCGACGTATCTGTGCTACGAGGAAAGATTCCTTCTCTTCTCCTTAGCTTTCGCAGCAGCACGCTTGAAAAGCAGCTCAGCAGAAGAACGTACGGGGTGAAGGAAAACACACACGGAAAAGGAAAGAATGATCTTTTATGCACAGCTTGGGGAAAACCCTGCAAACAGCCATGATGGGGGGTGCACAGGAGCCGTGTTTCTCAGCGCTCTGTCACACATCTCTCAGCTACGCCGGCACCTCCAGCCCAGCAGACTCCAAAGAGCTTCAGCAGCTTTCGGAACTGCGCTTCTGAGGGCAGCATCAGGAAGCAAAGCCCCGCTGCAATAAGGCATGCCTGGGGACACTGCAAGGCAAGCTGGGGAACAGTGAGACGCACCAGCAGCATGAACACCACGCTCAGACTTTGACCAGACCAAAGATTAGCCGAGACTATCGCCCTGATACCTCACGTGCTGCTTTACCTTATTTTTTTTGACGACGAGCATTAAAAAAATAAAGTCTCTCTGCCTCAACACAGCGCAAAGCGCCTGAAGAGCCCCCAGACCCACCCGCTGCCGTGACAGCCGCCGTGTGGACAGACATTTGCCACCGCAGGGCTTCACCCAACCGCACCGAGGGGCGGCGGGGAGGGCGGGCCGGGCCGCAGGGCCGCCACTGCGCTGTGGGGACGGGAGCTCGCCCCCAGCCCCCCCTCACGGCCCCATCCCCGCAGCCCCTGAGGTACAGCGCCCCGCGCAGCGCGCATGCGCCGAGTCCCCCTCGCGGCTCACTATCCCGCAGCGAGCTCCACCGTCCCCCAGCGCGCACGCGCGCCCCGCCGCCTCCAGGCGCCCTCTCAATGGCTCACTATTTGGCAGCCGCCAGCCTGGCCCTCAGAGGTACCGTGGAGCGGCGGGCGGGGCCCGCCCAGAGGAACAACGCGGCGAGGACCGGGGAGGTCGGGCGGGGGCGAAGCGGAGCTTTACCTGCGGGATACTCGACGTGAGTGAGGGAGACCGGCCGCCACGGAGCGGGGAGCGAGCACTCTCCGACTGCGGCCATCTTACCCGGATACCGGGCCGGGCCACCACAGCCAATTGGAGCGCAGTTAAGGGGCGGTACGACCAATGGGCGGGGGCGATGAGAGCAAAGAGCCAATGACGGTGAGCGGCAGGTGAGATGCCGGCCAACCCAGGGCCACCCAATTAAAAATCGAACCCGGGGAGTGGCGGAGCCAATAGGCTGCTAGCATCGCTGCCCAATGGAATGGGGGCGCAGGTAGCCGGAAAGCCAATCGAGAGAAAGGCGGGCCTCAGCATCCTCCCTCATTGGAAGGAAGAGCTATGCAGATTAGCCAATCACCAGCTTCCATTGCAGCCCTCTCTTAGCCAATCGGCTGTGGCGGTTGGCGCGGGGGGCTGAGGAAGGGGCTTGCGGGCGGGGGACACTTAAAGCGGCCGTGTGGTGCCTGAGGCGCCCCGTCCCGCTCAGCTCCTCGCGACGGCGCGCGTGGATGAGGAACAGACCGTCCCTCTCTGTAGTAAATGAGATTGCTGTAGCTGCACTGCATTATTTCACTACTTTAAGCAAAACGTTTCACTTTGCCCTACGCGGGCACAAGCTGTGAGCTCTGTTGAAAATTCGTTTGTTATTAATGATAAATTCCCCCTCTGAAGACCCAATCAAAATGAACGTTGCCATTATGTGATCACAGAGCAACGCTCACCTGGAGAGCCCGAGGACAAAGCAGGGCACACAGAGAAGGGAACACACACAAAAAGAGCTCGTAAAAGGCAAATATACCTCCAGAGCAAGGCAAAGTTAATTTCAGTTAAAAATAAATATTAAAAGTGCACAAGAGAAGTGATACGCATAGGCAAGAGGCAGGGGATGGGTTGTTCCCTGTACATCAGGACTGGGCTTGCTATCCTGGACTGAACACATTGTTTCCTGCAGCTTTCAAATAGCAATTATATCCAATTCATTTTAAAAGCCTTTTCTGGCTGGCACTGATCCTGTCACAGCGAGAAAAATAGCATCGAAGGCTCATTATTTTGGAAAGAAAGAAAATATTTACTGCAGAAGTTCATTTCATTTCAGAAGAGTGATATAAGATAGCGTGAGTGATTTACTGCTTTCACTATTCGAGCTAAATAAATCTCCTCCTTTCCCAGCTCTTGAATATAGAGTTGTGCTGGCAGAGTGGATTACATCTGATCTATGTACCATGACAAGTACTGAAAATTGTGGGCTTCATTGCTGTATTCACCCACTCCTTCCTGAAGATAAGAAGAAAGTGTCAATACAGAGAGCAGCCTTTGCTCCGTTCCGTCAGCATAAGAAAGCACAAAGCTGCTCTGAAGATGTCATGAGTATACAGTCTGACACCATGGAAACCAAGGTAAACTCCTTCTTAACTCTTTCAGCTAAATGCTGGGTGCGGCAAGAGACAGAAGTTCTCCTGTTCATGAACATTTTATTTGCATATATCACAGTTCATGACAGGCTTGCATTAATGAAGCTTTTTTTTAAGCATATGGTTGAAATTTCAATCGCCGTGATTCAATCTGTTTTCTGTGTCATTTGAAAAGGAAAGTATTTAAACACATTGTAATTGCCTCAGAGGAATAAGATGAGTTTGCTGCATCGCTGAGCAGATGGTCATCTCTGGTCTGAGCCCACAGTCTTTACTGTGCTTTTCTTTTACATAGGTTGGGAGACTGATAAGGATACTATAAGAACTTGGACAATGTCTAAGAGATTCTGCTTCTTACTGAGGTATCTGTTATCACTATCACAGCCAGCTATCCTATGCATACCACACGTAAACACAATCGATCCACCAAGAGAAAAAGAAAAATCTGAAAAATGAAACCCTGGAGTTCTCACCCACTGCTGAAAGTACAGTGAGTTGTTATGTTTATTTTATAGCTTGTTTGATCTCAGGGTATAGACTATTGAGTAGAACTTCATACAAACAAAACCATGAGAATTTACTTGCTCTGACTTTAGCATTTTGACTCTAAGACAAAGGAACTTTGCTTTATACTACTGCTCTCCTGTGAAGGGTGTTGCCACAACTGCCACCTGTATTGGAAACCAAGGTACCAGTTTCTAGCAGGTTTCTCTAGGTAGTTCAAGAACAAAAACCAAGATCGTGAAGGAAAGTTTTATTTGACTTATTCAACTTGTAATGCCCACAACCTAAGATTAGAGGTATTAGAAAAAAAATAGCCACAAAGCAAAAAAAAAAAAAAAAAAGAAGCCAAACACAGATAAATATTTACACCTTTAGGACATCAAGAAAAAAAATAGGCACAAGTTTACATTCATTAGTTTCAGATATGGCTGAGAAACGTTCAACCGAAGAGGGGTAAATAAAATCCTGCTTTCCCCACATCCTTGTCTAAAACAGCACAAGTCATGCTTTTCAAAGCCACACTGATCTTGTACATAAAACAAGGCAGATTATCCTCATTTTTAATATGCTTTTGCTTTAAAGATCATGGAGCCTCTCACAGAGCCATTCAGTTTAGTACATACATACTGAAGTACTGAGTATGTACTTTAAGCACTAGTGAAGCTTGTTACAACTCCCATGTAAAAACTGAAAGTCATGCAAGTCTGTTTAAGTATCAGAAACTAGTAAAGGATTTTATTTCATAGCTGCTAAGCCATTTCAAATCTTACAAGTGTCAGCAGAGAATGATTTAACCCCTTGAGAAAAAGGATGCATTATAAAAGAGGCAAATATCTCTTGAAATCTCCCCAAATACATATCTCATCTACTCCTAATACTGAAGGATCCCTTTGCTAAACACAATATGCTAGGGAAAAGTTGTTCTGCTGTTCCTTTACAAAGCTGGAGGGCAGACAGCTGCTCAGGCACAACCTTTTGCTGTGCCCTGTGAAGCAGGTGAGTATGAAGTGGTTGCCGTTTCAGCCAAGCCCTGCTCTAGAAGGGATCGGTGGAAACAGCCCCAACACCTACTCCAGCTCACATCCAAAAGGAACTGCATGCAGAAGGGGATTCCCCTCAGGTCAGGGCTCTGAACCCACTGGTCTCAGCAGTACCGCCTAGAGGTGGCGAGAAGGTTTTGCATTTCCTCTAATGCCACACAGGGATCAGGCAGGGATGAAATAGGAGTTGTGGGGGTTGGGGGATGCAGGACAGCGTAGCATTCTCCCCAGGCAAAATAGTTTGTCTCAGCAAACATACTTGGCTTGAGCAGGGACGATTTAGAGCTGGCAGGTGGAGGGGAAGAACTCAAGCTTCATAAAGCTGCAGATGTTCTTCAGGAACATCTATCTTTACCTTCCTTGCAAGGGCAGCATATCCCACTTGGAATAAGGGCTAAGCAAGAGAATAAAACTATCTTTCTTCCATGTCATTGATTAGGAATTTACAATTTCATAGTTTAAGAAGCTACAATGCAAGTTAGCATTGCTTCATAAGGACCCTGTTTGTTGTAGTGTCCTCCCTTGTGATGTGAGCCACCAGTGGTCTCATCCATACACAAAGCAGGCAGGCTGCCCCGAGCACCAAGGCCTAAAGGCACCCAAAGTAGTAAATAAATATACATAAAACACAAAAATCTGAAATGAATAGCACTGATTGTTTAAATTTACAGTCCATCTTATTACACCGAACTGAATGTTTTAGCATCTTTAAACCACTACACAAAGCTGCTGAAATTACTTGTTACAAACCTGCCATACAAGAGCATAAAGCACTAAAGTATTTTTTGGCAAGGTAACTTGCTTCCAGAACTTAACATACATTCAAATCACAGTGTACATATCACAGGTGCATCACACTAATACAACATCCTCTATTTTCTCACAGTATATTCTGCCAGAAGCAAGACATCTCAGAGACCTTTCCTCATTTCATTTGCTCTCCTAAATCCTTCCCATAACAGTTTATTTAATGCAGCCTCACTCAGGTCAGCTGCTCCTTACTTCTGCTTCAATGTTGTCCCGTTTATTGCATTAATCTTGTCTCCAGGATAAGCCACATCAGTCTGATGTGTTTACAGAACAGATGTTACGTGCTCTACTCTTGCCCTCTTGCAAGCATCCTGGGAGCATTATTTATGCCTTTTATATCCTCCTGTTTACTTTTTCCCTGCTTACTTCCTGCTTTTAACATCAGAATCCACATTAGGTTTCTGAAGAGGAAGAAGAATTTTATTCTCCAAGTGCACATACTGATTTTCCATTCCTATGGAAACTCTTACATTGCAGTTCTTACACTCTACCTTCCCCCCGTCATACTATAGCTAGGTCAGACTTGCACTTTTACCTGGGATAGACACAAGGGATAACAAATCTAGGGGGAAAAAAACCAACAACAGCAGTGCTTGTGTTTTTGTTCAAGTCCCCATTTTCTTCTTCCTGAATACCTCCTCGCTCTGAGCCTGGGCTCAGAGACCCTGTGTGGACAAAAACAGGAAAAAGGACAGGCTGAAGCCTTCATCTGGGGCATTACAGTCACAGAGGACTCAGTACATCATTGCAAACCTTGCACAAAACCCATGAATTTCTCAAGTCTAGCACACTCAAATGCTGCTATCCTAACCTAATCTCCTATTCAGAGAATGATCAAGGCAGACTTCAGGTGCCAGCTGTGCAGTCAGTATCACATCACACGAGAAGAGCCCATCTCAGCACTATATACACATGCATTTACTACATAACCAAAACTACGTTGTGTTTCTTAGGATAAACAAAGTATTAAAAAAAAAAAGTTTTCTCTCTAGCAGCTTGATCCCAGTTCAAGTACCTGCACAATCTCTTCTGTGAATCACATCCAACATCCATCTGTCTCCTGGCCTTGTGTGTAATAGGAACAGGCACCATGCTATACCAGTTCCCTTTGCTTGTGTACTTCACACTGCATTCCTCTTACCTAGCAAGAACTGCTGCCAGCTAATTCTGAAATACAGCAAGGCACTTTGATGGATGTTAAAGACTTTGTGTGTGCACAGGCAGGATGCAAATATCCACCCCCTCCTCACAATAACTTGCCTTTAGGACAAACACAGACCTCAGCAATCTCCTAAGGAAAGATGACCACAGCAAGTCATCTGGCCTGCAAAGAACAGCAATGTGGAGGGAACAGACCAGCTTCCTCAGAATTACAGATTGGTTACAAAAGTCTATGTTTTACTTCAGTGCTTTACAGAACTACTACTTCCTCCCTGGGGAAAAAAAAAATAAAAAATTGCTAGTCGTGTTCACGTGTCAAAATATGTGAAGTCAAATCAGCAGTAATATCTGTAGAAACACAGCAGAAAAATAACAGTAATAAAAATCCCAAAGCAACATAAACCTCTTTGAGAAGCCAAGGGTCAAGTGGAAAATTTACCAGTGATATTCCTGCTCCTCCAACACAACCATAAACATCTCAGGAACCATCTGCCAGATAACACATAGGCCAATACATAGGTACATGGTTTGCCCTATTCAAGAGAACTGGGCAAAAGTCTCAGCCCATTCAGTTCATGATTTATCTGACACATTAAAAATAATAAAAGGTACAGAAGGGTGGAACAAAGACAAAATTCAAACCATAAGCTGGCAAGTGGTCCTGGATCCATCCCAGCAAACAGTACTGGCTACAAAAAGCAGAAGGTCCCACCAGGCTGCTGTGTGTTGAGATGGTCTTGTGGCCACCACTGACCACTGCAGGTAGTTTAATCCAATTCTGTGAGGAGAAAAGTCCTTGTACAAAACTGTTTTCCTCCTCTGATTGCCATCAGATGAGCTCCTTCAGCGGCTCGTTTTCAATGGGAAGTGTGCCATTCATCTCAGGGGAGCTCTCTGTGCCCAGGTATCCCAAGAGGATCTCACTGCGCCTCCGTGACAGCTGCAAGATGTCTTCTGCCAGCAGCTGCACTGTTGTGTATCTCACATTGTCCAGATCAAACATGTCCTTCAGATATTGTACTATCTGGTGCTGCAAAGATAAAAGGGAGTTTGACAGTAAGTAGACCTCCACTCTCACCTTCCATCCACCTATCCCATAAGGAATTTTGTATGCCTGCTATATATATATATATTATAGGAAAGCCATCTTACCTTGAAGAAACTGCAGACTTCAGCGAGCTGCTGCTTGGGCCCCAGAAAACCAAAGGCTAGAACAGGACTGACATGCTCCGATACGGAGTAGAAGTGAGAGATAAAGCCATCTGGTACCTGCCACAAGGAAGGGAAAAATTGGTAGGTCTCAGTTCTCAGACAGAATTAGCAGCTTGTTCCATATCAACTACCAAAGTTGGAACTACCATTCCAGAAAGCACTGTGCTTCAGTAACTGAAGAGCTGCTTAAGAATCTCTCTTCCTGCAGAATTACAGTTACCCATCAGATTTCTTGAAGGATGGCTTGAGCTTTCTATCTTTATGTTCCTAAGCTACTCTTTCAGGAAAAGAGTAAATAGAAGAAAACGGAAGGCAACCATAAGGCAGTCCTTACCAACTCTACTTGCAGTCTCCAAACTAAGCCAGGAATGAGCACAAAAAATTCCAGATAGCTAAGGTGGAGATTCTGCATGGCAATACAGCTTCCAATGTACTCATTACTCTTTGCATCATCTCACAAGGCAAACCCAGCCATACCAGCTAGTTGTGGGATAGAAGCTGAACACTTGCCAGAGGCCACAGTCCCTGCGGTAGAAGTGCGATTGTGAAGTTGCAGCTTCCTGTTCTCCAGGTCCTCAAACTCATCTGCTGCAGTACTTAAAGAAGCAACAGGTTTAAGGGAAATGCATGAAGTACAAGCTAGCCAGTGGTCAGCCCTGGGAGGCAGGAGAGCACGTGAGCCCAGTCACTGCACTGCCAACAGGCAAACTACAGTTCAGAGAGCAACTCAAACCATTCCTATGGGATTGTGAGCAGGGATAGGGAATAACAAATGGAGAACATTATCCTCTGAATCCTCTCATTAAGGAAGAAGTGAGAATAAACTCAGAACTGTAAAACACTGATGTTGCACTGGTACAAAGAAATGACAGCAGGACCCCAGCACTCTAAAGCAGAGAGAATGCAGTTCAGTTCATTCTTATACCACAAAGATTTTGCATTTCACCAAGATCTTGGTGAAATCTTTTCAGCTTCAAGTGCATTTGATTCTTTCCCTGTTCATTAGTTTTGCTTACCATTAGAAGCCTCCTTTTTGCTTTCAGAACAGACCAGCAGGCAGTTGCTAGGGCCTACAATTAACAAAGAGATCATAATTTGCTGGGATTACTCTTCTGAAGAAA